CTCTGACACAATCCACTTGCCATTTAGTAACTAAAGTAATGTTACACACCAAGCCAATCATGTTATTCCCCTGCTTAAAACCAGTCCTCAACTTCCCTTTGCTCTAAGAATATAATTCAGATTCCTTACTGGGGCCTAGAAGAAACCCCGAGTGATCTGCCCTCTACCCACATATACTCTCATCTCATGCCACTCTCTTGCCTTGCACCAGCCACCCTGGCCTCCTTTCAATTCCTGGAAAATGCAAAACTCTTGTTCTGAGGCTTTAGCAGAAGCTCTTCCTTCTGCTCTTGGCATGGTCTATTTCTTATCCTTTGAGTCTTGGTCTGACGCTATTCCCCTTCTCCAACCTGGCCTTCATCCCTAACCATTATTCTTTGTCATGGTACCATGTGTTTCTTCATTTGCATTTATCCCAAATGATAATGCTATATATTTTTAGAGAATACCTATTTGTTGTTTGCCTCCTCTGCTAGATTGGAGGCTCCATGAGGGCAGGGACCATGTCCGCTTAGTTCTTCCCCTGGCATATAGTAAGTGCTCATAAATGGTAGCTGATATCATTGTTTCTAGTGAACTCCCTTTCTCATTCTATAAAATGACCACTTCAGACTCTCTGTAAACTACCTTCTCTAATCTCCAACTCCTTAAAATCTGATCAGATTGCCATCCTATTCTCTTTTTTTTTAAAGATTTTGTTTATTTATTTTAGAAAGACGAGAGAGAGACAGAGAGAGCGTGCACACAAGCAGGGAGAGCAGCAGAGGGAGAGGAAGAAGCAGGCTTTCTGCTGAGCAGGGAGCCCAACTTGGGGCTTGATCCCCGGACCCTGGGATCATGACCTGAGCTGAAGGCAGACGTTCAACTGACTGAGCCACCCAGGTGTCCCATTTTTAAATTTTTTAAAATCTCTACACCCAACGTGGGGCTCAAACTCATGACTCTAAGACCAAGAGTCACATGCTCCACTGACTAAGCCAGCCAGTGCCCCTGTATTCTTCTTTAAATCCCCACCATCTAGCACAGCTTTTGATTCATGGTATACAGTCAATGTGTAATAATCAAATTAATAAAGCCAGAACAGAACATCTCTGAAACAAATTCAAAGCTTGGGGCACCTGGGTGGCTCAGTTGGTTAAGCGACTGCCTTCGGCTCAGGTCATGATCCCAGGGTCCTGGGATCGAGTCCCGCATCGGGCTCCCTG